TATCCCTTTCTTCAAATGAAATCTTATATGGGAACCCAACTGATATGTGAGAGGAACAAATATCTCTAATGTGTAGCAGGAACAGAAATTAACCCATGTGTGAATATCCCCAATCTCCTTCCGTCCCATGCTCCTTGCTTTCTAGACAGCTCTTCAAGCACTCTGCTCCATGCGTGCATTCGCTACAGCTGGTGAGAGAAAGAGAAGTTTAAAAAAGCCCCAAACCTGCTCACTCTTCTTGCCTTCCACTCCCCGCACCTGCAAACCCCTAGAGCCCCAGAATACTATAAAAAATTTACTAGCTGGTGGTGAGACGGGTTCAAATCCCAACTGGCCACTCACTAGCTCAGTGGCCAAAGCCATGTCACTTCACCTCTTTGGGCCTCCGTTCAGTCATCCACAAAATAAGGCAAAGAATCACGTTCACCTACCTCTCTGCACGGCCAAGGGGACAGGCCAGATTTGGGAATGTGGACGCAGACCCAGAGGGGCTGTTCTGTCTTGGGAGTTGGAAAAAAAAACTACATTGAATTGTGTGTCCTTTTGGTTTTTAAGGTTACAGGTCACAGAGGCAGACTTTCCATTAACGGTTAAGGTGGCCAAGCTCTGGAAAATCCAAGCTGCTGATGTTTCACTTGAGAAAAAAAGAAAAAGGCCAATGTTTTCCTTCCCTGTCCTATGGAGCAGAACTGGCCTGTGCTCTGTGCTGAACCTTTGATTCTCTGGGCTTAAATCCACTCTGTGTTTTCAAAGTGTTCTTGTTCTGCTTTGCCCACAAAACCTGTTTCTGCAGATGAGAAATTTCAGCCACTGGGGCCTCAGCTCGGGGACCCTCAGGGGCTTTGCTAGGGTTCAGAGCAGGATGGGAGCGCCTGACCACCACCAGCACCAGTTTTAGGTTCTGCCCAAGTGTCCCCCTCCCGTAGATGCCCTTCCATGACACCAGCCTCTCCGGGGGAGGTGACAGCGAAGGAGGCAAAGGGCCGTCACTGTGCAGAAGGGTCCTGTGGAGGAACTGACATCCCTCTGGCGAGGGTCCTGGGACACCTTAAGAGGCCTGGTTTAGGTGTCTGCCCACTCGCAGTGGGGGGTGGGGCTGGGAGAGGGTCCCACAGGATGGGCCTGGAGCCCTGCACTGCCTAGAAACCGGGAGAGGGACACCAGCGGGGCCAAATGAAAGCCACCTTCTTTGGCAATTTGCTAGCATCTCCTGTCACCAGGTCCTGCGCTAGACTCCTTCTAAACAGCAACTCTTTATGTCCTCAGCAGACTCTGTAGGGCAAGGGAGATTGTCCCCTTCTTTAGATGGGAACCTGAGGCTCTGTGAAGTTAAATGACTTACCTAAGACCCTCAGCTAATGATGGCGGTGGAACCAGAATGGCCGAAGGAGCCCATTGTTTGGTGAGGTGAGGGGAACCATTGGGCAGGGTGGTTCCCAGGAGCCAAGCTGGGTCTTAGAATTCACGTGTCCCACAGGGCAAGGTGACCTGCACCGGGGCTGAGCTGACGAGCAGGGAGCACCATGCATGCTGCCTGCCCACCTTGGCTTATCGAGGGCCTCCTGGGCACATGCCGTGGGCTGACACGGGGAGGCAGAGGTGAGCAGGGACTGGCCCAGCCCCCAGGAAGAGCGCCGTCCAGGGGCTGAAACAACCCATGAGCGTAGGCATGGACCGTGCCTTTACCAAGATGTGTGTGTAGGGCGGGGGTCCGAGGGGCAGCTGGAGCCCAGCCATGAGAAACAGGAGGAGGGGTAGGACTCGGGCGGCGGCAGCAAAGCTCCAGCCCACGGAATTGCTGCGCTCTTGGCGTGTTATTGCTCGCGTTCCCCAGCTGTCCTGCTAGATGGGAGGGTTCACGTTGCTTCTTCCTTCTCTCCGGTCAGACCTCCATCAGGGTGTGGTGTTCCCCTTCATGCCCCCACCATTACTCTGGATGCCCAGGGCCCCCTCCTTCAGTTTGGGGGAAGTGTATAAGCGTCCTAGGCTGTTGGATTCAGAGATACCCTTTCAAGGGTGGGCTGGAGGAGGGCTGAGCTGTCTCTGGGAAATGGCGGTGCCACTCCAGACTGGCTGCTGGTCGGAGGCCTACAACCCCATCTCCAGGGGCCCGCGCAGGCAGTAATGGGAAGGGGAACTCAGGCTCCTGTGGCTTCCTTGAGGTCCCAGACACTGGTGACAGGCCTCCTGCTCCAGCGGAGCTCAGTGTCTCCATCCCCTGTGTCCTCAATAGTCCCTTTCTCCCTGCTGTTCATTCTCACCTGTAAGGTGGAACGCCACTCTACAAAGATGTGTCCCAAAGAGGTTAAGAGCCAGGGCTACGGGGCCAGCCTGCCGGGTTCGAGTCCCAGCTCTGAGCTGGCTGTTCGACTTTAAGCAAGTGACTTAACCTTTACCTCAGTCTCCTCGTCTGTAAAATGAACCCAATAATAGGATCTCCTGTATAGGCTTGCTCAGAGAGTCAGGTGCCAAAGCACACGTTTTTTCTGGAACTCCACACTGTCAGTTGTACTCAGGAACTTTTCAGTGTGGGTGGGAGAGATGGTGTGAATCCATCAGACGATGACCACTGTAAAGTAGGGGCCCAGGACTCAGGTGAGGTAAACATTCTGGGGGCAGAGAAATCCCACTTAAAACCTAAATTCTAGGATGAAGAAGATGCAAAAGGAAAAGAAAGTGGTAGGTCTAGCACATCACCCAGCATCAGGACAAATAAAGCAGGATTGGACAGGAAGGAAGGAGGAGGAAAGGCAGTCTGGGAGGAGGGGCCTGGAGGGGGGAAGCCTGGCGGGAGGGAAGCGTGGGGAGGGACACGGAAGAGCGCAGACCTGGTGGATGTTGAGAGTGAGTCCACGCAGGGGCGTTACACAGGGCCCAGCACGAGAGGGGCTACCGGTGCCAGACATACGTGGGGGCTCCCCGAGGTGGTCTCATGCAATCTTCTCCCTAACCCTGTGAGCCTTATTATTTATTATCTGGACTTTATAGATGAGGAAACTGAGCAGGCTCAGAGCGGGAGCCCCTTGTCCGAGATCACTCAGTAAGTGGCAGCTCTGGGCGTCAAGTCTTCTGTCTGCAGAGCTGGTGACCCTCCCCATGCCCCGCAGTCATCCAGGCAACAGGAGAAAACTCTGGGAGGGTGACAGGGAAGCTGGTTTGGGGCCAGGAGGAGGACGTGAAGCGCTCTGGAAGGACCTTTCAGGTCACCCTTCTTTAGGAAGGCCGGCCACCAACAGGGGCCTCACATATTTGGAGTGTCCACACATCTTCGTTGACAACACAAAAACCCAGATTCTCAGCCCTGGGTTTTAAATTCCTGATTTTATGCCCTGAGGCTTTGTCAGGTGCTGAATTCTACTTTCTTGCTCTATTCAGCTTCCTGTGCTCCTGCATGTGCTCATATCCCCCTCTGCACAGCTCCCTGCCCCCACCCCAGGCACCTTCCTAGTGGTTCTAGTACAATCGCGTCGTGATTGTATTCCAAACCCTTTCTCTTCCTTGTCAGGCCCAGTCTTTTAGAGCAGGGGTCCTCCAGCCTGGTGCCAATGGTAATTAACTGGCAGGCTTTAAAACTTCCTGACAGCCTGGCCTCCTGGCCTCTGTGAAGGCCCGGGTTGGAGTGTGTTCAAAGCCCTGCCTTAGAGGGACCCGCTGGAATAGTTGATGGACCCTCTAAGCACAGCCTGGCTTTTTGTTGTTTTTCTTCCCACTCACATCAGCATAATCCACCCTATTAAAGCCCACAAAACACAAATCAAATGGCTCCTGCTGGCCAGAGAACGGGTCTTTGGAAAACAGGGCTAAGCCTTGTGGACTTGCGTCCCATGGTGAGCTCTGTGTCTGTGCCTGGTCAGCCATCGTGACTTCAGAGTCACCCTGTACTGGCATTATTCTTACGCCATCTCACCCATGGTATCCAAGGCCCCACTGAGACTTTTATTGTCCATTTTATATTGTCAAACTGGAGCCTTAGATGCTTGTGGTCATAATTTTGAAATACTAAATTACGCCGAGCATTAAGGGCTATGTTTTCGGTTGGAAGACAGGTTAATTGCAGCTCTTTATCTTTAATTTTGAGATTTAAGCCACTTTCCCATTTAGCTCTAATTGGTAGTGTTCCGACAGCCCTCCCTGACCTCAGCAGCCTGTGATATGGTTTAGCAATCCTTTCATGGAAGCCCCTTTCTCTTTAGCCCTGCACATTTAATAGATTTGTATTTCCTCAGTCATCTTTCCTTCTGTGGAGATATTTCAAAATCACACCATGTGGCTGCAGGAAATAAATGCCTCCTCTCCAGCAGATGTTTTTTTTACAGCGATCAGTAAAAGAGGATTAATTGCCCCCCATTCATGCGCACCTCTTGCTCACTGTGTTCCATTTTCAGACAAAGATTTTTAATCCTTTCTTCTCTAGCCAGGCTGGATTTGTTTGTAAATGCTCGTGCTCTGAAAGTCGTGTTTCTGGAATGGACCTTAAGAGAGCATCTCCTCCAATCCTTCTATTTTACAGATAATAATATCATCATAGTGATACTTTGTGTGTCAGGGGAGGGCACTCATTGTGACAACAGGGAAGGGGGTGTTCCTGAGCCCCTCGTCCCTGGAGGTGTTCAAGCACAGTTTAGAAGCAGCTCATCAGGCATATTTTAGAGACAGAAACAGCAAAAGAACTAAGAGGTTTGAGAGTCAGAAAACCTTGGGTTTCGATTCCTGCCACTTACCTGTCCTGTGGCCTTGGGAGGCTTACGGACCATGTGTAGCCTCTGTTTCTGAGTCTATAAAATGGAGTTAATAACAATACTTACCACATAAAATTAGAGTGCAATGGAGCGAAATAAACCTGGCCCCCAGTAGTTGCTTAATAAATGAGGGTTACTATTATTAAATATTATAGACGGCAGCTGGGCTTCAGAAATGGAGGGGGGGGAATAACAGCAGGGGAGAAACCCACATAAAGACCTTGGGATTCTCTTCAATCCCTGGACCTCACAGCCCATTAGTTTGCAAAGTGCTTTTTCATCTCTAATCGCGGTGTGTCCTCACCAGAGCTCTAGACCACGACAGTCTGACCTCACAAGAGTCCTTGAACAGAACTAAGTAAAGAGCAGCGTGGCCACACGGAAACTCAGAAAGGTGACGTGATTGCCCTCAAGTCACACAGCACGCCGAGAGTGCCCGCAGACTCCAGATTCACACGCACCCTTCTTTTTTTGCTGTTTCCACAAAACCAGAGCTCTTATCTGCTCTCCACTGTCCTCTGCTTGGTCATGAAGGTATTTCCACCCCAGAACGTTCCTGAGCTGGGTGGGCGTGCTCCTCGTCGGCCCAAGGTCTCATTCCGAGAGCGGTGCTTGCCCATTCAAGTGAGGACTTGGAGCTGTGTCTTTTATTCCCAAGCCTGCAGGGCAATCAAGCAGTCCAATAATAATAATATGTCATGTTGGATACTCATAATGCACTTGTTTCATGTGGCACTCTTAGAATTTTAATTTGATACAAGGAGCATTATTACTCCATATTCATTACATTGCACGTTAACCTCTTTTAAAAACCCTTTTTTCCCAGCAATAACAGAAGACAATTTGACATGAAGAAAGTCATTTGGGGAAGAAGGTCTGCCCAGTGGGTTTTCCCTAGCAGCCCCAGGGCCTGGGCCCCACCGTCTTCTCCCCCAGGGCTCCGGGCTCCCTTGTCACGGTTTACCAGGAGCCCTTTACCTGGCGCTCTGGCCGCACCTGCGGGAGGGTCTGCTCCACCAGTTCTCACCGTCGCTGGGCCCTGAGCCCGCAGCCTTTTGCCCCAGTTTAAACTACCAGGACGCTTGGAGGTGCGTATAATCACGGAGATTTAATTGGAAAAAAGAAGAGAAGAGATCCGGGCTGGAGGTGGGTAGAGGACCAGTGGGAGGAGATCTGACTCTCCTTAAAGAATTACACACTCCGAGGTTTGGCTGCGGAAGCTTGAACATGGATCACACCGGGTTACTGTCAGGAGCGGGACCCTACCTAAAGACACTGAAATCCACTCATTCCTCCCCGCCGCGCCCCCCCCCCCCCCCCCCCCCCCGACCATACACCTTTTATTTTCATTCCTCACCACCAAGGACACAAGCCCCACTGGATGGGGCTGACCTCTGGCCACACCAACTGTCCCAGGTGTCCTCAGGCGGTGCACCAGCACCGAGAGCTGCTGGGGGCCAGGGGTGAGAGGTCCCACCTGTCTCTAAATGGGGCAGCCTGACTTTTATTTTGCAAACTGATTCCACACATACCTGTGAAAAAGAAATGCTGAACCTTGCACCCCAATCTTGTCTCCGCCCTTTGTTTTACAGATCAGGAAACCAAGACCCAGAGAAGCCAGGGTCTTGTTCCAGGCATGTGGCTGGGTGGGAACGAGAACCCAGTTCCCTGGCCACTGCAGTACACTGTCTCTAATGCATTAGCCCTGTGACAACGCCACCACCATAATATCTTTCCACTGATATTGGGAGAGAGCTACAGTTTATGTGTCATTACAATGTACCAGGAGCTTCTTCTGAACCGTACACAGCCTTGAGGTGACTATTACTCTCCCCATTCTATGGATGAGGCCACTGGGCTCAGAGAGGTGAGGCTCAGCGGGAGGTCAGCCAGGGGGCAAGGGAGCAGGCCTGGAACCCCAGCCACCGGGGCGCCACAGCCTCTGCCCTGCATCCCCGCATTTACTGCCTGGAACTATGCACCTGCAGCCTCCATTTACTTCTCTGTGAAACTAAATGCCTCATTCCTTCCTGTCCACACTAATTTACACTCCAGGTTCAAGTCAGAGGAATATAAAAATTCTTGGAAACATCTAAAGTACTATAAAAAAGCACGACTAATGCCATTATAAAATGTGGACAAATTATTTGGTTTGGGGCCCCCCTTTTTTTTTCCTCTTTAAATGCTGTAAAATGTCTGCCGGGAAAAAAGGGTCTTTGCTCCGACAAAGTATAAGGCATTACGGGTTGGAGATACTATTTATTCAGAAACTTTTTTCCTGGAAGATTTTCTGGGCACAGCACTGGATCACGTACTAGGGATTCAGAGAGAAATGAAACCAGCCCCAGCCTTCAGGGTACTCAAGTGCTTTGGGGACTGCCAAGAGATAAAGCCTCAATTACATCCCAGTGAGGAACGTGCCAGATGGAAGGGTGCTCTGGAGGCCTGCAGCGAGGCAGACGGGGCCTGACCAGCATGCTGGCCAGGAGGGCAGGCTCTGGTCTAGGTTGCCTTGGATTCAAAGGCCGGCTAGTCACTAGCGTTGTGTCCTTGGGCAGTTCTCTTGACCTCTCTGTGCCTCAGTTTTCTCTTCTGTAAAATGGAAACTATACAAGACAATAATTGGGTCCCTATTCTAAGGATTGCTATAAATATTTCATGAGCCAGGGACTCTTTGGAAAGCTGATGAAGCCTGTAGACTCTTTCTGGGAATATCATTTTTCAGTGCATGCAATAAAAATACATAGGAATACCAAGTGTACTAATTATATTCAAAATAGTATCAAAATATTAAATACACAAATGTATAATTCAGCAATATATGTGCTGCTTTATTAAGGCATTAAATAATAAGGTCTGGCGGCCGGTCTAATAAACGCCATAATTTGATGCAGCGATAGGCGTAAACGATCCCTCAAGACATCTGCAGTTACGTGATGTGATAGGAATTTCTCCATTTTTTTCTGTTGGTGACATACAGGTGAAGGAAATGTTCCTTTTCAGTTTAGATCAGGGAACACAGTGATGTCATTTTTCCCTTTCTCTGACCCTCTGAATTCTCTTCAGAGGACCCACTAGGGCCTGTGGATCCAGGTGGCCAAGCCCTGCCCCAGGGATACCCTCCCGTGACAGGGAGGAGGGCGTGGTGCTGAGGGGCCAGCAGGGGGAGCTTGGGGTGCTGCTTAGGGGGTCGGAGAGCTGGAGGCCTGAGCGGCTGCACAGCACCGTGTCCTGGGATCAAGTTATGCTGGTTAAAGATTGATCAGTTAAAGATTAAAGAAAGCAGGACCAAGCTTGGGCAGTTTATAAAACCCCTACACCTGGGCCATCCTCCACTGGTAATAACCTCTGTGTTGGTTAAGGTCGGCTCTACCAAATTCGAATCTCAACTCCACCACCCACTCAGTGTCACCATGGAGGAGATTCCTGTCTTCACTGTGTCTCGGTGGCTTCATCTTTAACAGGGAAACAATGGTCCTGGCCTCTTGTGACTGTTGTGACAATCCAAAGGGAGGTGCAGCAAGGTGTGTTTCTCACCGGAAATGCCATCAGGCTGGTAGACCAGAATGAGCCGCTTCTAGCCGCTTCTAGCCGCTTCTAGGCGGTACAGCCTGCACGTTCAGAGCACAGGCTGAGGGGCAAAACGGCGAGTCTGAACCCCAGCCCTGCCACTAACCTGCTGTGTAACCGCGCGTGCCACTCAGTCTCTCTGGGCCTTGGATTCTTCCTCTGTGGAATGGGAAAAATAATAGTATCAACCTCACCCTGTTGTTGCCAGGACTAAATGAATGAATTAGTGTATAGAAAACAGAACAACCCCCGACGCATGTGAAATGCTCGCCTGTTTGCTCCAGTATCATCGGGATTGATGTTATTGCCCAGTGAGTGGACCTAGCAGCCGCCCAACACCCACACTTTGTTATTTTCCAACCTCTAATAACCTCCATTAACAGTTGATGAAAGCAAGTAACACAGTTATTTATTTTATGAACAATGGTCGCAGATCTAAGACTCTGAGATGGTTTTTGGAGCAGTGGAAGGACCAGGTAGGTATACTGTGCCTGTTATATGCCACTCCTGTTACATTATTTAATCCTCACAATGGTCTTCCCAGAGAGTTACCATGACCCCATCTTGCTGATGAACAAATGGAAGTTCACAGAGGCAAGGTCAGCCTAGCTTTGCAGAACCACTGCGTGACAGGGCTGGGATTTGAACCCAAGTCTGTCTTGCCCCCAGAAGCCTCTGCTGCAGGGAATATTTCCTGCTGAGCCAGAGGGTGGGGTCTGCCCATCTAAGGCCAGCCTTCTTGTCCCTCACATCTCTGGTCCAACCAGGCCCACAGGAGCCAGGACGCTTGCTCTGTGCTAATGAAGAGCATGTGTTTACCTCATGGGCACCGAGCTAGGCTTTCTATCTGATGTGTCCATTTTTAATGCATAATGGCCCTGCTGGAACAGCAGGCCTCTCCTTCCTCTCGGCCCGTGTAGTCCTCATTATCAGGGACATGAGACAGGAGTGCAGCAGCTGCTGGGTATTTTACCCCAGGGCAGCCATCGTGGCACTGGCTCACATGTCCAAAGGCTACACACCTGGGACAAAAGCCTGATCCTTGGTCTTCCTTTCACCCTCTTCTGGGACAATTGGGGGCAAGAGAGGAGGGTCCTAGAAAAGTGACAAGTGTCCCCAAGCTTTGCAAAGCTCAGGCAATTTCCTCATTCACGTGCTGGCCCTGGAGATAAAAGGACAAAGGAGATGCAACTCCCGGATGCAAGAGCTCCCACTTTAGGAGAGACACGCATGCGTATCTCACTTGTCACTGTGACCTGGGACATAACTGAGGGGTTGCAGAGGGCTAGAGGAGCTTAAAGGAGGAAGTGGCTTCATCTCCTTAAAGGGGTGAGGGATGGGGGATCCAGGGAAAACTTTTTCAAAGGATGCGACATACAAAAACAAGGAAGTGTTCATCAGGCAGAGAAGTGGGAGCAGTCAGGGATGGAGGGGCTCAGGACCAATACTTAGCAGTCACCCACCATTAGGCAGATTCTATGTCAGGCACTTGACCTGCTGTCTCTCACTTCATCTTCACAGCAATCCAATGGATGTACACCTCAGCGTCCCCAATCACAGTGGAGGCTCAGAAAAGCTGAGACCCTTGCCCAAGGACACACAGCTGGGAGTGAGTGGTGGGGCCAGGCTGCCACCCAGGATTGGTGGATTCCAAGACATGTGTTCTGTCCACATTGAGCCTTGGCAAAGGAAACCCACTGGCAAAAAGCCAGAGGAGGGAGGGAGTCTGAGGTGCTCAGAGAAGGAAGCTGGAGTATAGAAGTTCGCCAGGGGGGAAAAGGGTATTAGAGCCACAGGACAAAGGCCTCAAATGTCACACCGTAGTGAATGTTCTTTGTTGCTACAGCAGATTGTTAGACAGATTGTTATAAGGATGGCCCCAGTGAATCACCTCCCTGTATCCACACCCTTTGCAGTATGGACTGCTACTCCTTCCTTTAAGAAACAGAGGCTACATCCCTGCCCCCTTGAGTCTGGGTTGACCTGTGACTGCTTTGGTCAATAGGATCTGGCGCAGTAACCCTGTGGGAGTTCCAGAGCCCAGGCCTTAAGGGGCGAGCAGCCTCTGATCGCAATCTCCTGCTGCCCTGAGGCTCCATGTAAGGAAGGCTGGGCCAGGCTCCCTGAGGATGAGAAGCCACGTGAAGAGAGAGAGACAACCCCACACCAGCCACCTCTACCCACTCAACTGAATCACCAGACACATACCTGAGCCGATCTTAGATCTTTGTCCCAAACTGCCATTTGAATGCAGCCACACAGAAAGGACTCCAGATAACCCTTTGCGGAGGAGCTACGCCCAGCCCAGATTGCTGAATCATGAGCCAATAGATAGCTGTCCCTGTTTGAGGTCACTAAGTTTTAGGGTGGCTCATCATCCAGCAATGTGATTGGGTTGGACTTGGGCTGACTCTTGTATGTTGCTGAAGCAGTTGCCATTTGGTGAAAAGGCACGACTGAATTTAGCTCAGTGGTCTGCACCTCTCTCAGGCCAGTTATTCTGGAAACAAGTCCTCTATGTGGAGGGCAGGCATGCAGAGGCAGGACCAGAATCCCGGGACCCGTTGCATAGCAATCACGGGGACAGCTGGGTTCTCCTTTGGAAGCTGGAACTAAACAGCCTCCCTCCTTGGTTGATCCATTTGTCTTACTGCCATTTCTTTTGCTTTTCTCCTTCCATCACCAATGGTGGAAGCAGCTGCCAAAATAAACTAGGGCAGGCCGCACAGCCAGAAAACACCAACTGCCTGGATGTCTTTGTCTGTGTCTCCCTGGATAACACACTTTTCTTTATTCTTGGAGAATCTTCCCAGTGGGGACCTCGGGTCGCTGGGGAGTGGAGACTGTCTCAAAGATACCAGCTGAGCCCTTAATGCATCCATGGCATTTATGGGTATTATTGTGTTATTTATGTATATTAATGATGAATTTCTACTGTGTGCCTAAGACACAGTAGAAATCCACACGAAAATGCTGCAGGACGGGTGCCGTTACCCCATTTCACACGGAAGATTCTGAGGCCCAGAGAGGCAAGTGACTTGTCTGTAGGTGGCAAAGCCAAGCTTTGGACCCAGGTGGTCCAGCTCCAGAGCTGGAACTGTTTCTATGCTGCATGCTGTTTCCTTTCCAAAAAAAGAAAAATCCAGCAGCTAAGAGTCCAGGTGATGGGAATATTGCCCAGGTCTGATGGGGCAGGCAATAAGTGATCTGCATTGTAAAAGATGACTCTCTTTTCGCTGAACTGGTTACCAAAAGGTCCTAAACTTTACCCTGCGGTGTCCAGCTGCAACAGAGACTCTGGTGGAGCCTGTGTCTCTCCCCTCTTCTCACACAAGCATTTCATGGGCAGGGAGGGGGTGTGGGGGGTGGGCGGGCCCCTTGCACTGCTCTCTGTCTTGAGCACTACCTATGCAGGAAGGATCTGGAAGGAGTGTGATGGAGGGGAGTCCCACCTTGGACAGGTCTGAGCAGAAAGCCTGCTTTCTGGGTCTGGGAGAGGAACGCAGAGCTCTCTGAGCAGCCGCGCCTGCGGTGACCAGCTCTCATTGCGACGCATTGTGGAGCCAGGCTCTGTACTTGTCAGCTTGTTACAGCCTTGGGCTGACTTGCCCCACAGACAGACCAAGTCCAGGCTTGAGGCACCATCAAAGGGCAGAGACACCTACAAAACACATCTTACATTTTTAAAAAGTAGACAGAAATAGACTCAAGGGGGAACACCAGAATTTTGTTTTACATTCTTGTACCTACAGACCTTTTCATAGTGTTATTTGGAATTTTTATGAGGCAAGTGGCCCCATAATCATTTCAGTGTGGGGCCTTTATATTGGACCTCAGTCTCCCCATCCACAAAACTAAACAGTGTGCTTATTTGTGTTCCCAAACCTGGCTGGGTGTCAGAGCTACCTGGGGAATGGGGACCTCAATTTTGGGACCTCCGTTCTGATGATTCTCAGAGAGGAAGGTGGGCCCAGACATCTGTCTGTATCTTAACAAATGTCCTGTGGCAACTCTTCTGACAAGGACAGATCTATAAAAGGTGGGTTTGAGGATTATCCCACCATCCTGATTTGCTCAGGCTGGAAAGATGTCCCAAAACAGGGGAGTTTCAGTGTTAAAACCAGGAAAGTTCCAGATAAACTGGGACAAGTTTGTAATCTTCACACTCCCCGAGTATCACCCAGGGCCTTCTGGCTTGAATTCGCTATGAATCTTCAGTGACATTCATACAAGATAAATCCTTCTCTCTAAGAGCAGCTGAAGTTGCAATACGTTGTTTCTAAGGAGTCTAACATGATCTAAGGAGCTATCCGAATTCACGGTGGTGTGAGAAGGTCTCTTGACTAGCGCCCCAGCTGAAGGCCACCCAAGGAAATCTTTGATTCCAGCCATTCTCTGCCCAGACACTCACAGCTCCTCGGACCATCTCCGAGGAGCTCCAGTAGTGAGTTTTCACTGATATTCCCGTGTGCAAAGGGTCACAGCGATAGAAAAGAAAATCTGTGGACCCCCTTCATCTCTCTTTGATTTTTCATTTTGTATTTTCAGAGAATGTGCAAGTGTGTTATCTCACTTAATCCTCACACACAACCGTGTGGATAGGATGTACATTTATCTCATAAATAACCAGTTGAAGACCCCAGCTCCTCCTGTAGGTAGTCACAAAGGAGGTGGGGATCCACAGCTTCTCCTTCTTGTAACACAAAAAACTTCCCGCTTGCCCAGCTCCAGGAAGGGCAGTGGTTGTAAGGAAGCAGGTGGTGTAAGAGGAAGGCTTCCATATCCAAGAAAGGGAACTAGAAAATGATGGGGTCCCACGGAATCACTTGCTGCTGGTGTTATTTGGTTCTTTAGATCAGCACTATCAAATAGAAATATAATGCATGCAGTTAAATAATTTGACATTGTCTATTGGCCACACAGGGTGGGACAAAAGTAGGTTTACAATTGTTCATATGGAAAATAATACAATAATTAATAAATAACAATACAGGAATAAACTCGCATACTCACAACCGTAAACCTATTTTTGCCCCACTCCGGATGCGTGATAACCGACAGACTTGAGGACACAGGTGTGACTAGACTTCTCCAGGGAAAGCGAGAAGAGTAGAATCGTGTTAGATGAAGGCTTAGAGAACACTCTTTTTAGAGGACAAACATTAAAAATAAAATAAAGAAAAACCACTAGAAGGCCTAAAACCCAGTGAAAAATAGGAAGAAATAAGAGATAGGAGGCAAACATTGTGGCAACCATTTCTGTCATTTTCTAACCCCAAAGTAGCAAATTCAATTGCCTATGGGAGCCAGGCAGGTGACTTAGTGAGTAGAGAAGCTTGGGTGTAGGAAAATGACAAGGGACTGTCATTTTCACAGGCAGAAACCGCCTTGTACACAGGCAGAAACTGCCGTCTAGGTTCTGTCTATTTTTGCCCCATGGGAATTTGGGTCAATGTTGCCAGGTATTTGGCTTTTGCAAGAAAAGCTGAAACTTTATATTTTTATATGAAATTTGCCATTTTAAAAATGTTCAATTCTCACAAAAAAACATCTATGGAATTTTTTTCAGCCTCCAGGCTGCTGGATTGCAACTTTTGCCTCAGCATCCATGACAGCAACAGTCCTGGACCAGGAAGGTCTCCGGCTGGACCCACTACTGTAATCTTTCATTTGCATATTCATGAGAGGGTCTCCCCATAGATATGTGGATGAATAACTTTGACAATCTGTGCTACTCTATTTAAAAGCTGACAATGGAAAAATTAAGAAGTAGCTTCCTAATGACAACAGAGATATTCTAATCAATGCCTAAGAATGTTTCGTAACCTTTGCCAAGATCTGGACATCTATAAACATGCTGATCATATACTTTAACACTCAAACAAGGGCACATTTTTTGGGGGGGGGGGAAGGAGTGCTCTTAAGAGGTGTAAAATGGAATGTTTGATCATCCTAATACAGGGTGGGGCAAAAGTAGGTTTACATAGCGCAAATAAATAATACAATAATTCAAAAACAAATAATAATGCACAAATAAACTCTGTTTTACGTACTCATAACTATAAACCTACTTGTGCTACCCCTGTATTAATGAAGTAAAAATAAACATATGAAATTGATTTGATAACATTTTATTCAACCCAACACATCCCAAAACTATCATTTCAGCAAATAATCAATATGAAAGTTACTAATGAGATATTTTTACATTCTATTTTTTGTACAGTGTTTTTTGGAATCTGCACTAATATCTTTCTTTTACAATATAAAAGCTAAGATATACATGTAACTCAAGTTACTTCTTTTCAGGTGCTCAGCAGTCAGCCACAAAGGTGAGCAGCTTCAGTAATAAACATCTAAGTCCTTAGTTCTTTGTGGCCTACTGGATTTGTCCAATTCTGAAAAGGTATTAAAAATCTTCAACTTATCCATTTGTCTACTGAAGGACGCTTGGGTTGCTCCCATCTCTTGGCTATTGTAAACGATGCTGCAATGAATGTAGGGCTGTCGGCCATGAAAAAGAACAAAATCTTGCTGTTTGTGACCACACGGGTGGACCTAGAGAATAATATGCTAAATGAAATAAGTCAGACACAGAAAGACAAATGCTATATGCTTTTACTTATATGTGGAACCCCCCAAAAAGGCCCCCAGATAAATGAACAAACACAACAGAAACAAACTCATAAACGCAGAAAACATTTTGGTGGTTACCAGGTCACGGTGGGGTTGGGAGGATGAGTGAAAAAGGGGAAGGGATTCAGATGTACAAATTGCCAGTTATCAAAAACAGTCAAAGGGATGTAAAGTACGGCAGAGGGAATATAGTTAATGATGTTATAATAACTATTACGGTGTTAGATAGGTACTGGACTTAACAGAGTGATTACTTCATTAGTTATATAAATGTCTAATCACTCACTATGTTATATACCTGAAACTAACATATCATAAGTCGACTACAATAGAAAAGTAAAAAAAAAATTCTTTACAGAAGTCTTCAACGTAAATTGTATTTTGGGGGCAATTCTCCTTCCATCTCTAACACTTTTTGCACTGTATTTACTTGCTATGTTGTTTGTTACATACAAGTTTATGGCTATAATATTTTCTCTGTAAATTATGTCCTATATCATTACATGATGTGCCTCTTTGCACTGATTCACGCTTTTAGCCTTCAGTTCCACTCACCTCACTGTCTTTCTTGCCTGCTTTGTTTGTTTCGTTTTATGTTTGCCTGGGATTATGTGCCTT